AGATGGAGTCTTGCTCTGTTGCTTAGGCTGGAGTGCAGTGGCACAATCTCGGCTCACTGCAACCTCCGCCTCCTGGGTTCAAACGATTCTCCCGCCTCAGCCTCCCAAGTGGCTGGGATTACAGGCGCCCACCACCATACCCACTAATTTTTGTATTTTTAGTAGAGACGGGGTTTCACCTTGTTGGCCAGGATGGTCTCCATCTCTTGACCTCGTGATGATCCACCCACCTCGGCCTCCTAAAGTGCTGGGATTACAGGTGTGAGCCACTGCACCTGGCCTCTGACGGTGCTTTTATTGTTTATTTGTTTGTCATCTGTCTGTTCCTCCTGCATACATCCCAGAATAAATGTTCCCTGCCGGCAGGGACTTGGTCTGGGCTCCTCTCTGGGCTTAGACAATATTTTTGAAAAGATGGAACTCAGGGCGCTCCCCACAAGGCTGTGGATCCTGCCTGAGCCTCACCTCCAGGACATCAATGCTCTCCTTCACCTTGATCTTGGCCACCTTCAGCTTCTCCCGCAGTTGCTTGTAGTACATGGAGGGAACAGATAAGAATTCCATGCCTCTCCCTCGCAAGTGGCGAATCTGTTTCAGAGCAAAGTTGGGGTCAACCTTTGGGCTCCAAGTTCAACTCCCCTAGCCAGGTGGAGGTGCTGGGCCATCAGAAGGCAGGGTCCCTATCCTAGCTCCCCTCAACTCCAGGATGCTGTGTGGCCTCTTCCTCTTTCTCTATCATGAGCCCTGTTAGAACGACACTGCTAGATACATAGAACACTCACCATGTGCCTGCCTTGAGCACTTTCTTTTTTTTTTGTGAGACAGAGTCTCACTATTGCCAGGCTGGATTGCAGTGGCGCCTTCTTGGCTCACTGCAGCCTCCGCCTCCCGGGTTCAAGTGATTCTCCTGCCTCAGCCTCCTGAGTAGCTGGGACTACAGGCGAGCACCACCACGCCCAACTAATTTTTGTATTTTTAGTAGAGATGGGGTTTCACCACATTGGCCAGCACGGTTTTGATCTCTTGACCTCATGATCCACCCACCTCAGCCTCCCAAAGTGCTGGGATTACAGGCGTGAACCACTGCGCCTGGCCGAGCACTTACTACATATTTCCTCATTATGTCCATGCAGCAATCTTTTGAGGCAGCTGGAGGACTATTCTCCCATTTCATAGCTGGGGAAACTGAGATTAAGGATTATTAGGCTGGGTGCGGTGGCTCATGCCTGTAAATCCCAACATTTTGGGAGATCAAGGTGGGCAGATCACTTGACGTCAGGAGTTTGAGACCATCCTGGCCAACATAGTGACACCCCATGTCTACTAAAAATACAAAAAAAATTACCAGGCATGGGGTCGTGTGCCTGTAAGCTACTCGGGAGGCTGAGGCAGGAGAATTGCTTGAACTCAGGAGGTAGAAGTTGCAGTGAGCCAAAATCGAGCCACTGCACTCCAGCCTGGGGGACAGAGCAAGACTCCATCTCAAAAGAAAAGGATCTATTAATATATATATTTTTTGAGACAGGGTCCTGCTCTGTCACCCAGGCTGGAGTGCAGTGGCACAATCATAGCTCACTGCAGCCTCAGCCTCCCCAGTTTCAGGTAATCTTCCTACCTCAGCCTCCAAAGTAACTAAAACCACAGGTGTGCACCACCACACCTGGCTAATTTTTTGAGTTTTTGTAAAGATGAGGTCTTGCTATTTGCCCAGGCTGGTCTCAAACCTCTGAGCCTAAGCAGTCCTCCCACCTCGGCCTCCCAAAGTGCCTGAACCCCCAGTTTAAATGTGCAATGTCCTTCACCCTTGCTGTCCCAATTCCCTGCTTTGCTTTCTTCCTGGGCGCTCTCTACCATCTAGCATTTGTATTTTACTTATTTTTTTATTGCTCCACAAGGGCAGAAACGGTTATTTGTAGATGTATCCTAAGTACCTATGACAGTGCCTGGCATGTAGTAGATACTCAATAAACATCTGTTGAGTGAATGAACAAATGAAGCTGCTAAGGTTGTGCAGTGAACTCTTGGTTGGCACAGTCCAGGTGCTAGTCCACTCTGCCATAGTGTCATTTAAGGAAGGGGTAGGACCCAGCCTCCCCATGCACCATCTGTCTGGACCTACAGATGCAGGACATTTATTCTGTCTAAAGAGACAAAAATCAATCTTATAGCCTAATTGCCTCTTTTTTTTTTTTTTTTTTTT